CTTTCTGCAGGAGTAATCTCTTCACTGCAGCTCTGGGATCATGCATAAATTGGCTTGAACCAACTTAACCATGAAATAACAATTTGAACAAATTACATTAACTTCCTAAATTCCCAGACCAATCTAAAATATAAATTTTTTAACCAAAGCACATTAAAAATTTGAAAATGTGTCCTCTATTTTTAAAATCATAAATATATTTTATCCTAGAACTTATCATTACTGAACAGACTACCCAAATAGTATCCAAAGCAAATCTAAATCATACCTTTAATTAATTTCATTACATTTCTGATTCATAGTTATTTTAACCTACACAACTATATCTTTTAAGAGATCATTTTAGTGAAACATTTTAACAATAATAAATGAAGATGGAAGAAGCAAAGCTACAAACACATTTTGTCCTTAGTCTAATTGCTCACATTAACAAGTATTTTAGGGGGCTGGGGTTGTGGCTCAGTGGTAGAGCTCTTGCCTAGCATGTGTGAGGCACTGGGTTCGATTCTTGGCACCGGCGTAGCTCGGACGCCGCCGCCGCCTCCTCCTCCTCTCCTCCCCGCCCCCACGCTACTCTCACGGACACGCCGCCGCGGCCGTAGCTAGCTCTCGCGAGATGTTCCTGCCCGCTCGGTTTTTCCCTCCCCCTCCAGTTCCCAGCACGCTCGCGGAGGGAGACGTGGCGCGCGCAGCGGAGAAATCCTGAGAGGCCCCGCCCCCCTCCCGCCCCCCAAGTCACAGCACCGCCTCCAACCTCCTGCGGGCCCTGCCCTAGACCCCGCCCCTAGCACGGAGTCTCTTCACTTCCTTCCTCCCCTCGGTTTCCCGCGGCCCCACGCGGGATTTCCAGAGTGTACCTGTGGGGTCCCAACGAAGTCTTCTCTGGCCGGGCAGAACACAGGTGGCTCTCCGAGGTGCTCTCCCAACTATCTGGAGCAATCTTGCCTCCCCTCTCTCCTATCCTTGCTCTTGGTTTTTAATTGCCCCGGTAACGTTTCCCTAGGTTCTTATCCACTCCTCCAGCTCCCACATTTTGGAAACAAGTATCATTAAGAACAGGCGAGGTAGAGGTTGCTGTAGTTCGGTTTTCAAAGTAATGTTTGTTCCCTAAGACTGAGATCTGGTCTGCGCCCATTTTCCTCAGTCCTACACAGATGGTGTCCTTTCTGGCCAAAGCTGCTGATATTTACAGCCACC